ATTGATGATGCCTGTATGAAGAGTTTCAAGTTGAGAAAGCTTACCTCAAAACTGGAAATCGTGTTTGGAGTTTGAGCTTGTTTCAAGTGATGGTGATGATCAGGTTAGCTTCCTTGAGGTCCTAGGAAGCTAATGCAATGGTTTGCTCAAGTTGAGAGTGGCTGAAATGACTTGGAGAAGTCAAGTTGCAGACTCTGTTTTTTGGTTATGGAAGTTATGGTAAATGATGTTACAGTTCTGGAATAAGGATAGGGATGAGTTGCATTTGATATAAGGAAGCTTTAGAAACTAAAAGGCCAAGAAACGCACGAGGGAAATGGGAGTTTGATGTTCAAGGTCAGAAACTGTGCAACAATGGAGTTTTTGGGCAATTTCTAATTTGAGAGAGTTTTTGTGTATTTCAGGGTGCTCAAGCTCGTGTCCTAGCTCACAAATAGTGACTTTATTTATAAGCAACAAGTTCGGAGTGCTCTAGTTGATCAGAATTCAAATTTACATGTTTAAGTTAAACATGTGATTTTTTGACAAAACAAGTTTCCATGCCTTGTGTACTTGCTAAGATAGAGTGGTTATACTTTAAACAAGATTGCTTATGACTTTGTGGATGGAGTGTGATCATAGGGAACAAGTTAGAGGCTCAATGTGAACTTTATGCAAAAAGATGGCTTTACAAGAATGACATTGTTAACTTTGTGCCATAAATGGAAATGCAACTTGGACAATAGCTCAATTGCTTGGATCAAAGCCCTAACAGTTGTGTAAAAATTTAATTATGGAGTGGCAAACAAGTTTGAGGCCTTCAAAGCAAAGATTATGCAGCCTAGCATGGATTTGGTTCATGTGCTCATCAAAATGACTTGTAATTCAAGTGACAAAACCCTAACTTCATCTCTTCGATTCTCCCTCCTCAAGAATGATCTCAAGGAGTTATTGGATATTTTGGAAAGCTTGCAATGTGCTCTACAACCCATATTTGAATTGATTTTGAAGATTCCCCTTGGAACTATATGAAAATTTTCCATGAAGTTAGGTCAAAATCCTGACCAAATTAGGGCAAAATTTCAATAAGTGTTTAGTTTCATGACCACATGTTCATAAAATTATAACTTGAGATCCAAGCATTTTTGGAAGGATTTGTGTAAAGAAAAGTTGTAGATCTCATGGAGATATACAACTTTCATGTTGGAAGTTTCTCTTGAATCATCTTTCATCATGGTGAAAAGTTTTCTCAAAGTTATGAAAAAACATGAAATTTCCAACACTTAGAAAAATTTCTAAGTTTAGAAATTTTGACTTTTCAAAATGAAATCTTGACTTTTTGATTTCTTGATTAATAAGTTTCATATTTTGACATGTTTTGATGAATTGTGATCATTGGCACTTGAATTTGACCAAAAAGTCAAAGTTTGACTTTTTAGTATACAGTTGACTTTTGATCAGTCGACAGAAAAATTCATTTGTCATTCCAATGGACATGCAATGTTTTGAACCATGACATTAGGTAAAAATGATGCAATTGGACTCTTGAGATCATGCCTTAAACCAATTGACCATTTTCTAGGTCAAAAATCAGAAATTGCCCTTTCCCAGTCAAAACCCTAATTTTGACCATTTTGCCCTTTTGGGGATTTTGATCAAATTTCTTGAGGAATAGTGGTCCAAACTTGATCAAATGATACATATGACTTTAAAATATTGATGTGGATCAAAAATTATGAATTTTGACTGTAAATTGGCCATAGTTGACTTTTTCCCCAATACAACTAATTTTTAGGTCAACTGCTCAATTGACTGAGCAAAAATGTGATTCAAGGCTTGAAACTTGGCATGATTAATCTTGGGGGTCCATGATGATCCATGAAAGTCACATGGGACATTGAAAGTTCAAATGTCCTTGTGAAAACTCAAACCCTAATTTTGGTCATCATTGTATAAGGAGGTGTCTTGAGCTGATCAAATCCTAGTGCAGTCTTTTGCCCAAGGAGATCTTGTGAGTAAATTCTTGATAAGTGAGAGGGAAATTTTTGGGGTACAACAATGTATGTTAAGAATGTGGTAACCATGTTATGTATGCAAAGACATGGGATCAAGGTTCCATCTTTTCTTAATATGATTGTTGCACTGTTCTGAACCATATGAATGTTATTAGATCAATGTACTGGCATAGCTTCTGCACTTACAAGAGCCAAGTACCATGTGGATTATCAATAGTACGGGATCAAGGCTTCTGGAACACCGAATACTGTTGATCACTTTTGTTGAACATGCAGGAAATACCAAGATCAAAGGCCCAAATGAACCTTCAAATATACAAGTTAGGAACTCAGAAAAATAAATATGAGAACCATATAGTCACCAACAGAACACCATTTGCATAAGTCACTAACAGAAATCCAAAACATAACCATTAGAACCAATAGCCACTGTCTGGGCATAGTCACCATCTGAACATGAGTAACCATCTGAACATAGTCACCATTTGTACCTGTGATAAAGCATTCCCGCCCCACTCACGAGTGAAGACTAGGTCAGGGTAAGGAAATGGTAACTCAAAATCATGGGTTTGCTTGAGAGTATTATCATCGTACACCTACGTGATAATGATAACACCTCATTAAGACCTCATTTGAGCGTGGACGACACAGTCGTATAGGGCAATCTACATCCCCTATCCGTCGTGTTCCACTATATTCCTAGGACCCCTATGGTTGTCACTTGGCCTGGGTATTGGGTCTTTTACCTCTTGTAATGCCCACCCAACAAGAAACAGATCCAGTACAGTAGTAGTATATGGAAAATAGTAAAATACAATGCATACATATGCTCAAGTATATGCAACATGGATGAATAAACAAAGCATAAAAATAAACACCCAAAGAAAGGAAATAAGAGCTAGGAGTGACTTCGGGATGGACCTGCATTTGGTCGACCTTTCCCCAGTGAAGTCGCCAGCTGAAACAACCGGATAAAAATAATCAAACAATGAATTCGCCATCGAATGTCTTTTATCCCACATGAAGCGAAAGGTAAACATCGAGAAAACCTGAGAAGGGAGAAGTCACAGTCTCGCAACCGAGAGATCGGGTAAGGGAGTCTGTTACGCGAGGGGAAGGTATTAACACCCCACACGCCCATAGTACTCTATGGTATCCACTCTTGTTGTATATCTTATGGGTGTGTTTAATCTATGCTTACTACTTACTATACTAAAGGGAGAATGCATGCAAAAGAAAGGGGAAAAGAATGTAGGGAAAATAAAGTTGTACTCGCTTGGGCCATACCCCAATGCCTACGTATCCTTTTTAAGGAATCAGAGCTACCGTAGTTCGGCTCACATGTTTTTGTTTGTTTTGTGTTTTTTTATGGAGAATGTTAATTCTGCCTTCTGCCGTAGCTCGACCTTTGTAGACTTATGTGTTGGCACAAAAGTAAATTAATCATGTTCTTACCTGAAAAGGGTTTTAGAGAAAAGGTGCTCGAGCGCACAAAACGATTTGAATTGGTTTGTGTTTTATTACCTTGAAAAAGGGTTTAAGTGAGATTATCATGTTTCTGGTTTGCTAAGAAAAGAAGTTTTAGTTTTGAATGCAAGGATGCAAAAAGGGGAAGAAAAGAGTTTAAGGGAGACTAGCCTATTTCTAACCTAATGTTATCATACAACGGTAGTCCTAAGGTTTGGATTAACAAAAGGGAAACGTCTACCTAATGTTAGCATGAATGGTTTACAACCTAAGGTCTAACTTGCATCCGAGCGAAGCAAGCGCATCCTAAGGGAACATGGTATGTACAAGGATAAAGCAAAAAAAGCCAATAAACTCAAGAAAGCACACCTAGAGAGATCCTATCTAGGTTAGCATGCCAAAGAAAGTATAACAAAGATATCATATAGGGAACATGCAATGAGAGCGAAGTCGTGATCTCAATTTCTAAATTGAGTGACTCATCGATCAGTAAGAAATAGAGGAAAGCGGTAAAATCCTATAGGGAACATGCACTGAGTGAAGTCGTGATCTCAATTTCTAAATTGAGTGACTCATCGATCAAAAACCAAAGAAACAAACACAAGCACAACACATATAGCAAATGAAGTGCGGAATGCCTGCTAAAGGTCTTTAAACAGCGACTTCGAGCGCACACTCTTTATTTCCTACTTCTCATGGTATCTAGAAAAGCGGTAAAGTGCGAAAATAAGGAATACAAGTGAAGTTGAAACGATACCGAATGGAGAAAGTCTGTTGCCTCTTCAAAATAATGCAAGCAATAAGAAAACTCTATTGAAAGCTTCCTCGAATGGCCGAATCCTCTTGATGATAAGAAAAATTTACATAGAGTCCCCATGGGGGTGGAACACTTCTTCACTTGTTACCATATCTAAGGAACTTCAATCAAGCATTTCTGGACCAGAGCTTGTCACTAAATCAATCGACATGCCAAGAAATTGAATCAAATAGGAAGAACCTACACGAATCAAACCTAAAACCTTACTTTAGCCACACATTCAACTATTAACCAATTGATTCCTAAACTAATGGAAAAAATATGAAAAAATGGGATAATGTCGGGAATAAACATATTAATATCCACACAAGATTTAAGCCAAAAATCATGAAAGAATCATCAATAATTAATTGCACAAAATTAATAACCAAATGAAAATCAAAGAAAAAGCAGGGTGGTGTATAGATCTGTATGGTGTGCATTGAAAACGTGACATTAAGCCCAACCCAAGTATATCCAGCCTTATTTATTTTTATTAACAGTATATTAAAAGAAAAGAAAATGAGATAACGAAAAAAAATGGAGGATACAATGCATCTTGTAGCTTGTGAGGTTAGGGTTAAATTTGTATGACGACCCAAATTCCTCTTCAAACGCGATATTCTCTTCTTCTTCTCCTTGCTAGCATCCTTCTCGGACGAACACCAGCGATTCGCCACCATCAATTCCTCAACCTTATTTCTCCTTTTCCCGCCTTCATTCCCATCTGAATCACCTCCGGAATGCCTTTCTTCTCCGTTGCAAACGGCGATCCTCTTCTGCGCCAATTTCGGTTTGCACACTGTGGCTTTGTACTTTGTTCATCAATCTCAGGCTTTAGGCACCGTGAATCATCATCTCGCTTAGATCTCGATTTTGACTCATTCTTCTTCTTCGTGATTCGGTTTCACTATTCATCATTTCTCGCGAATCAGCAACGACGGAGTTCTCCGGTGAGTCTCGGTCTTCACTTTAGCCTATTTTTCCTTTTCGTTTGTTGTAGTGTGTGATAGTGATGAATGGTGTTGTTGTATGCAAGATAATGCACAAAAATGAGTGAACCAAAGAGTTGTTGTTCTTGCGATTTTGAAGCAGAACGAGATCAATGATAATAGATACGACGCGGTTGCTATGTTGATTCCAAAGATGATGAAGCTTGTAGAGGATTGAAGATGATCCTGAATATGTATGAGGTCGTATGAAGGTGGCGATGAAGAATAACAAACGCTGATGAGTTGAAAATGAAGGTTCAGTTACAGATGCAGAGAGAATCCAAAGAAGGTGAGGTTGCGGAAGATTGAAGAAAGTGATGATTGAGATTGAGCAGGATGAAGGGGAATTTTGCTGAGAAAAGGTGAGTTTCTTTTTCTGTGACTTTTTCTGTTTTCATATCCCTCTTCCTCTTTTTGTTATCAATCATATTTTTTCTCAATCTCTGCCTCTCCTCTTTCCATTTTTGTTATTTGTTGGAAGTTTATGTTAGAAGCGGTTAGGACGTTGGAGGTTGCTCTGAAAGTTGGTTGTGGTTAGGAAAACAGTTAGGGAGTTAGTTAGTTAGAAGATAGGAAGTTATGAAAAGCTGTTAGTTTGTTTTTGAAACAGTTAAAAGAATAGGAAGTTGTTTTATGAAGGGTCTGTTTCTGGTTTTCTTGTTACATCTTGGAAGTTTGATTGAAAACTTTTTTGGACTGTCGGGGAATTAGTTTAGAAAACGGTTAGGGGGTTGTGAATCGGTTATGAGATGGTTAGAGGTTTATGAGGAATTAGAAGATTTTGTTTCAATTAGGAGAAGGAGTTAGAATTCTGTTAGGCTGTTTGGGATGGTAAATCTGCTATGACGTTTCTATTATGCAGGGTGGTTTTCTGTTGGTTAGTTAGGGGTTATCAGGAAGTTGGTTTTCTGTTATGGAAAATTTTGATTCAGTTAGAGGAGTTTTTGTTTTTTCCTGTTATTGAGTGAGTTGTTAGTTTCCGTGTTTCCTTTGTAAACATTTTTTTTATGGATATAGTTTGATTGAATTTGGTTATGATGCATATACACATGCTGATTGTAAATGGAATGTAGGTTAAATGATGGTCTGGCAAGCAGAGGGGCAAGATTAATGCGACAAGTCTAAGAATGGCCTATGTTGATATAATGGCCATTAAGAGCATGGAGTTTGGACTGATTTTTGACAAAGAAGCATGAAGGACAGTTGGAGAACAAAGATAGAGCTTAAGTTTAGAATTTAGGAATTTTGTTTGAATGGACTTTATATGAATAGATTGCGGTAACAATGGTGTACTTGGACTGCTTTTGTAATGAAAATATTTTTGTTTTATATTTAATGGTGGATCGAAATGGTTTTGGACTATTATTATTTATTATATTTTTTTAATGGAATTATAATAGGAACTTGGAACGCACTATAATGAACTCGGATTAGCAATTCTAAACCACTCCTCAATTAACAAAACCTTTCTATTGGCATCCGCTTGCTCCATGAGCTACAAGTGTAATAATGAACCCGCAAAATTATCCTCTGAGTCATGATCCAATGTTTGCAATTCAACTCCTGAACCTTTGCCCTGGTAATCGATGACCTCACAAAGTAACATATCTTGAATAAACCTTAATTTTAATTCTCCAAACACCCTAGCTGACTTGCAATACAAGCACTCAAACAATTAAGAACAATAACGCCCTTGATCACAACGAATTCACAACACCCTTCTTTTATCATGTTTTTTCTATCCATCAAACACCTAGTAAAATGTTGGCAAACCTGCATATAATAGGATATAAACCCTAGATTCATAACTCTAAATAGGGCAACCCTGTAACCTGTTGTTGATACGAAAATAATAGCATTGTAGCTTAAGAAATCTCAATAACCATAAATCACAACCTCAATGCCTCTATTTAATGCTCGAAGAAGAAATCGGCCTTTATTAGATACGAACGCCTCATCCATTGTAAAACCCTAATTCTCCGAGATCACTGATCGCATGCCACATTATATTGATTAATGAATGAATGATGTGTTAGATGACCTAATGGAGTTATGTACATGAAAAAGCGCAATAATGCATAAGCCAGATAAAAGTGAAAGGATAAGACAAATTTGGGGTATTACACCCACCAAACACAATATCATCAACATAAATCTGTGCAATCATGATCTTCCCTTCTTCTTCCTTGAAAAAAAGAGTTTTGTCTATGCCACCTTTCCTATATCCATTCTCACCAAGAAATTTTGTCAATCTCTCATACCAATCTCTTGGAGCCTGGTTTAATCCATACAGAGCTTTCTTCAGTTCGTACACATGATTAGGAAAGCTTGGATCAACAAATCCCTTAGGTTGTTCCACATAAACTTCCTCATTCAGATAGCCATTTAAGAAGGCACTCTTTACATCCATTTGAAACAACTTAAATCTCAGAATGAAAGCAACTCCTAAGAGTAGTCTGATTGATTCAACTCTGGCCATAGGGGAAAAGGTTTCATCAAAATTAACTCCTTCAATTTGAGTGTATCCTTGTGCAGCTAATCTTGCCTTATTTCTAGTAACCACCCCTTTTTCATCGGATTTATTCTTGTACACCTATTTAGTGTCAATCACATTTTTCCCTTCAGGTGTTGGAACCAGATCCCAAACTTAATTTCTTCTAAATTGTTCTAGCTCTTCTTGCATAACATTAATCCAGTACTCATCAGTTAAGGCTTCTTTAACATTCTTAGGCTCGATTTTTGAAACAAAGCAAGAGTTTGACACCCCTTCTCTTGATCTAGTAGTAACTCCTTTATTTAGATCTCCTATAATAAGTTCCTTAGGATGATCTCTGAGTTCTAATTGAAGGCCCTTTATTGAGTTGACTGGGCTCAGGATCCTCTTGAGTTGGATTAGGATCAGTACTTTTGTCATTAGATTCTGTTGGAATGTCTGACAAAGATGTTCCAACATCTTCTAAGACATATTCTTCATCATTCCATCCTATATCATCAATAATAACATTTATGGATTCCATCATAACCTTAGTTTTGGAGTTAAAGACTATGTAAGCTCTGCTATTTGTAGAGTAACCCAGGAATATTCCCTCATCACTCTTGGGATCCATCTTCCTTCTTTGTTCACGGTCAACTAAGATGTAACATTTACTTCCAAAAACATGAATGTATTTGACAATAGGTTTTCTTCCCTTCCATATTTCATACAAGGTGGTTGAGGTGCCTTTTCTTAGAGTGACTCTGTTATGGATATAGCACGTAGTATTCATAGCTTCAGCCCAAAAGTGGTAGGGTAACTTCTTAGCATAAATCATAGCTCTGGCAGATTCCCGAAGAGTTCTGTTTTTGCGTTCCACAATCCCATTTTGCTGAGGAGTAATGGGAGAGGAAAATTCATGACTAATTCCTTCAGAAGAACAAAAATCAAAAAATTTATTGTTCTCAAATTCCTTTCCATGATCACTTCTGATTCTGATGACATGACTATTCTTTTCTCTTTGAACTTTTTGACAAAGATCTTTAAAGACTTCAAAAGTTTTTTATTTTTCTCTGATAAAACTTATCCATGTGTACCTAGAGAAGTCATCTACAACAACATAGACATATTTCTTTCAACCAAGACTTTCAACCTGCATATGTCCCATCAAGTCCATTTGAAGAATTTCCAAAACTCTTTATGTGGTGAGATGTTGGATCTTCTGATGTGACATCTTAGTTTTCTTTTCAATCTAGCATTCACCACATACTCTCCCTTCTTTTATCTTGGACTTAGTAATCCCTCTCACGACTTCTACAGATATGATCTTTTCATTCCTTTCAGATGCAAGTGTCCTAGTTTTTGATGTCACAATTTAACTTCATTTACTTTGGCTAAAGCACATGTCAAGGAGAAGTTCAACTCTTGGGGAACCCATAAATAACAGTTGTCTTTAGATCTGATTCCTTTCATAATAACATCATTCTTCTCACTGCAAACGAGACATTTTGTCTTGGTGAAGTTTACATTGAACCCTTGATCACACATTTGACTTATACTTATTAGGTTAGCTGTTAACCCTTTAACAAGTAACACATTATCAAGTTTTGGGACTCCTGAACATTCCAGCTTTCCAACTCCTTTGATTTCACCTTTGGATTCATCACCAAAAGTCACATAACTGGTTGAGTAAGATTTGATATCTACCAACAGATTCTTAACACCTGTCATGTGTCTAGAACAACCACTTTCAAAGTACCAGTTATCTTTGGTTGAGACTCTAAAAGAGATATGAGCTATGAGACTAGCAACAATAGTCTTGGGAACCCACTGTTTCTTCTTTTTGTTATTTTGAGATATCTGATCAGTCTTGGGAAGAGGAGCAGTTTTAGGGTACCCATACAACATGAAACAGAAAGGTATTATGTGACCAGGCCTTCCATAATTGTGACACCTCCAGGGCTGGAATTTCTCTCTAGTGTGATTAAATTTTTTCTTTCCATGATATTTTCCTTGATGTCTTTTCTTACCATGATGTTTTTCATGATGTTGAGACATTTGATTCGACATATTTGGTTTAGACTTGGCATGAGTGGAATCTGATGAAGGTTCTTCTAAATAAGATTCCTTTTTCTCATTAAACCGTAGACCACTCTTGTCTCTTGTCACTCTTCCCACTTGAAGAATTTCACCTAATGTGTCAGACCCATTATTCAGCATCTTGAATGATTTGACCATTCTGTCAAGATTCGAATTCAGAGAAGTCACTTCACTTTCCAGACTAGAGATAGTTTTCAGATGCTCTTTCCTTTCTTCCTTCAACTGAGTTATGAAAGCTTTCTGTTTCTCCCCTTCTTGGTAAACTTCTGCACTTCTGAGACACGGTTCTCTGTATGAAGCAGCTAACTCATCAAAGGTTAGTTCATCATCACTAGAATCTTCATCAAAAACATGTTTGCCTATCAATTCTTTAACATACTTGGAATTATTCCTCTTTAAGATCACTCTCAGAGTCCTCTTCAGACCAAGTAACATATAGATTCTTCTTCTGTTTCTTAAGATATGTAGGATATTCAGCTCTAATGTGACCAAAACGTTCACATCCATGACATTGTATTCCCTTCCCTTTAGTGGATTTTTCTTCAGCCCTTTTTCTTCCAAACTCATTTGACTTATGGATGTCAGATGAGATGTTCTTGACATTT